TGTTCAAAGCAATAATACAATATCCGAACATATTGTTCAGATCAGACTGCTAAAGCATATACCTATCATACAAACTGATCGATAAAAACCAACTGCCTTCAAAGAAAACTTTTTAATTTGACAAGATATCATTACAAATTTGGCGAATATTATTGTCAAAAGCAATATTATTGCCAAATTAAATTGTTCAAACATGTACTGCTCCACAAGAATTTTGTCCGTTAGGTTACATGGATGAAAACAATTAACAACCGCTTGTATGCAGCACCAGAAGTGTTATCTGCCTATAAATATTAATGCCTATAAATCTTAAAATGGACACAGCGATAAACGTATAATTGAACGTAAATGCAACAAAAAGATGTCGCTACAGTGTCGTATAAAAAATAAAAAGCAAAAAATTGCCAAAAACATAGACACTATTTTTATTTCAAAAATATGAAACCAATACACACATATGCTAAATTCGAGTTTGTGTCGTCCGATCTGAACAATTTTGTGAAGATATCTTGTCAAATGAAAAAGTTGTCCATACAAGAACTGGATTTTGATAGGCCAGTTTGTGTGGCAGCTATATGCTATAGTGGTTCGATCTAAAATAATTTTTTGAAGATTATGTCATTACCCCGGATAATAATTCCTGCCAAATTTTGTGAAGATCGCAAAAAGTTTTTTATTTAAAAACTTGATTTTGAACCGCCAGCTTTTGGCGGTTACAACGAATGAACCGCTTTTAACCAAGAAAAGGACTTTCAGGTCAATACCTCAAAAACTGGGGAACTAGTTCGCGTATATACAGATAGACGAACGAACAGACGGCCATGGCTATACCGAATCAGGTCGCCACGCTGATGATTTATACTCGTATATACATTTAGGTCCTCCAACATTTTTTTTAGGTTTTTACAAACTTCGTTGCTAACTTTATATACCCTGTCGTGGTATTAAAATATATGTATATGTAAATATATTCTTTATATTTGTACAAGAAAAGAACTGGATATTGCCACTACATAAATCGACTAAGAATTAAACTATGGTGAAAATAATTTCTGTTATATTTCACGGTTTTCGCTTCCACGGTTTGTGTATAAGTCGGGAACAAACCATCAATACCAGTTTCAGACTTACTGACTATTGTAGAGTTTCTTAAGTTGAGTTTGGTTGCAATTGATCGACTGCTCAGGAGCGCTTCCTCCTTTAGACAAGTGACTATTCACTCTAATAGCAGAGCGTTATATTACCGCTGAAGTCACTGTCTTCTTGGTGGAAAAAGGTCGGGGTACCTCAGTCCACTTTAAAGTTATTATTAAATAGCGGTACCTGTGTGGTGGTACAATCCTACAGGCGTCTTCGTCAATATATTAAAAGAAGTTATAGCTCCTTTTATTTGTTGTAAAATGTCTGTTTATATGACATTTGTTCTGCATGAATATGTTTGTTGTACATATATTTTTAATTAGTCTGGATACAAATATTTTTATAAAATATTTAGTTGTCCTTAGAATTAGCATATAGCATCAGAGGAATTTTGAAAATATTTCATATTTGGTACTTGGTTCAAACTGTCAAATTGTTATCGCCCGCAGGTTTTGCATATTTTTAATCTAGCACTAAGAAGAACCTACCCTTCCGAGGTACTAGTGCTTTTCTAATTTCCGAACTCGTTAGTTTTCTAGCACCTTTTCTTGCCAAAGCTGTCTAGTACTACCACAATAAGCTTGGACTGAAGTCTCATTTAGTACGTTTGTTTATTCGGAAAACAGTAGCAAATAATTTGTACTTTGGCTTTCCTTAACGCATTCAAAGTTTGTATTTACTTTTATGTCAACTACACTCAAGGTATTATATTTTAAAATTATTCGAAAAATATTATTATTTTATTTACAAAAATTATATATTATAAATAGAAATAAAAAATGTTTTGATACATGAAAATTTTATTTCACCTATACTAAAAATAAATTTATATCTTTTATGTTTTATGCAACTTCTCAGCAGCGTAGGCATTTCCTGAAAAGCCGAATTAATTTTCTTATATGCATTCAGCAAAATCATGCTTAATTCTACAAAACTCTTTGCCAGATTAAACCAAATTATTAGAAGCATTTAAGGAATTTGAGACAAGCAAAGTTGGAGATCGTGCAAAAAGCATCAGAGCTCACATCACACATGTCAAAGTGAAGCTTTGTACATACTCTACATAAGATAAATAAGTATATTATATATTAAAAAGCTGAAAATAAAACAAAGCTAGCATAAGGAAAATATATGCGAAGAAGAAAGTAAAGAAGCAATCGAAGAAATTGACAAAAAAATATATATATTAAAAAATGCTTGTGCCTTCCTAGCAATATGTTGAAATTACAATATTGGCAACTTTTGTGGTTGTACACCAGCTTTCAAAAACAGACGGCTGCTGCTGAAACCTAACTGTTTAGGCAGCTAACAGCCAGGACTTCCTCATCATCTATGCAGTCATATGCGCCTGAAGGCAACAAAAATCGAGAACAAGAAAAACGTTAACTTCGGTTGCACCGAAGCTACAATACTCTTCACAAATACAAACGATTCCTTACAAGAACATTGAGCGGTTAGTTTGTATGGTAGCTATATGCTATAGTGACTCGATTTGAACAGCCAGGGATCATTGCCTTGGACAATATCTCGCTATTGAAAAAGTTTTCCATACAAGCACTGGATTTTGATCGATAAGCTTTATGATATAGTAGTAGGAATTCGCTGGTTTCGACAATTGAGCAGTTTTCTTTAGCGAAGATCAATATCTAAAAAACAACATACACTTCATGGGGTCTCCGATGTTTCCTTCTGGGTGTTACAAATTTCGTGGCAAACTTAATAGACCGTGTTTATGGAAATAATAATAAAAAGGAAAGTGTTTGCAAAATGCCACACACCTATCCACTTAGACAAAAGGCAATTGGAGTAAGTTGGTATACTATGAGCTTATAATGGGTGATCCATGTAGACGTACTTTTCAATAGCCTTTTTTTTTAAAGATCACGCGTGAGTCATGCCAAGGCTTTCGACTGAACAACGTTCACAAATTGTTCAACGAAAATTCACGTTCTATTAAGAAAGTGTTTTACGCGCTTCGCTCAACTTATGGTCAACATAATCGGCCTACTGAGCATACTTGAGACCCAGCATTCATTATTAAATAATATCCGACCGAAAAGACCACGTCCAGCACGCAGTGAAGAAAATATAGCGGCCGTAGCTGAGAGTGTACACGAAGACCGTGGAAATTGAAAGCGGTTCAAAATACAGCTTGTGCAAGAACTAAAGCCCCTCGACCTTCCCAAGTGACATCGCTTCACTCTAAGAACTCTTGAGAAGTTCCAAGAAGATCCGACGTTTTCGAGCCAAATTTTGGCTCAATGGGTAAGCAAAGAAGCAAAATTTCCGATTGTGGGGCAAAAAGTAACCTGAAGAGATTCAAGAGCTGCTATTTCGTCCAAAAACGGTTAGGTGTGGTCCATATATTTACGACTCATCGAAAATTGAACTCAACTGCTGGACCATCTGAGACGTAGCCGCGTCCAACATTTGAAAGAGATAATCTGTTTATGTTCTTTCGAATAATAAGAAATATTCCCCATTAAATTTGAATTTTTTGTGCTTATTTTTTAAGTAGGAACACTTGAAATGGATCACCCTTTACTTTCGCTTTATGTAATGGAAAAAGTCTATCAAACTTTATGCGTATCTTGCTGCTTTCCGGTCTGTCTGACTGTCTGATTCTCTAAGCGTCGCCTGCAATTGCCCGCATGCAAATGCATTTCCTGTGCTTTTGTCTTCCTCTTTGCGGTGTGATCGATATTGACAGGCACAGTTGTAGCTGACATCCTCTGCCGGTGTAGCGTTGAATATAACACGCTTATTAAAGGCAGCAGAAGCCCGATACCCAAGAGTAAGTGCTGACACTTCAAGTCGCATAATCGTTTGTCATATTGTCATAGTTGAAATTGGCTCGATTTTGTTGAATACAAATCGTGTGTAAAAACAATTTAACTAAAAATATCAATGGAATATACTTGTATGCCTAAAATCATGAAAAATGTGATTAGTTTTTCTGTGAAACATTGTTTCTCTCATTGTGATTGTTGCGTCTGCTATCTCAGTCAGGTCGTCTAAATAACTACTGATCTCTTTTGAGGAACTTTAAAGATACTCCACTGAGAATCTATATTAGCTCTTGGTATAGTAAAAATAGATCCATAATTTCGGATTATGGTTAAAAAGTGAGTCAGCTACTATAACATCAAGCGGAAACGGTATTGGTTGAATCAAGGCGATCCGGCGGAAAGGGCGGATAGGCCAGGACTAACGGACACGAAGTAATTGCTACATGTTTGGGGGAATTGGTAGGTCATACGAGTGTATTATAGGGTGCTTCAATGCGACCAAGCTCTTAATTGGGCTTCACCCAGAAGCGGACAGGTTTTTTCGAATAAGAGAGTAATAGTGTTCCATCAGAACAACACCAGGCCACATAGGAATACATCAATAGCGACTCGGCAGGAGCTTCGGCATTTCGGTTGAGAGCTTTCTTTCATCCACCTTTTAGTTCGTACCTGGTACCAAGTGATTACCAATTGCTCCTGCGTATAGGGAACGATTTTGTTGAGGAAAACTTCGACTCAAGAGAAGATTGTGAAAATCGACCGTCCTATCATCATTCTGCCTATGCTGAAAAAAAACATGAACTAATGGAAAATTAATCGATTCCTTTTATACCTTATATTATATCAAAGGCAGGAGCTTTGGTAAAAAAGGAACATAATTTTTAAAATCCAAAAGAAATATTTTCTACTATATTCGTATGTTCCTCATGGGAGTTCTACAAGAGCCAGAAAAATATGCATGTAAAAAATAATAAAAGTATTTAAAAATATCTATTCATATAAAGCTATTTGCTAATAAAAGTCAAAATATCGAATATACACACTCTCTCTCTCTCTCTCTTTAGTACTCACATTGATTATGCTCTCGCCCCGTGGCGTGTGAATTCCATAAACTCGATGTGGCACCAATATAAGCATTATTCAGTAATGATGACTGCTCTGCGACATTCGATTTTGTGCGGTGAACTTTTTTACTGAGACGTTGATCTATTTTGTCGACGGCAGTATCCATTACAGTTGTTTTTGTCATTTTGACATTTTGAAAGAAATTAAATAGATATACATATATAATAAAATGATGATGTGTGTCATAAAGTTAACATAAGCATACTCATATACTGGTATATATGGTAAGTAGTGCCACCTGCTTAAACCTGATTTATGCTGTACTACTTCTCATGCATTTTCTTCACTAAGGACCACCCCAAAACGAACAATAACACTAAAAAAAGCAAAACTTAAGCGACAAAAGTAGCATCGCTATGGAAAAATAAATAAGGCAAATGGATGCAATAAACTGTTAAGGGGATTGCTCAGGTAAGTTATGGACGGGCAGAGTGAGGACGGATGTTAAGTGAAGCATAAAGACTTTCACTTTATAACTGTTTAAGTATACAGATGTTGAATTTAATAGCACAAATGCAATTTTATCTATGGATATGGCTTGTTGTGAGGAGGAGGACGTGCGAGGAGTTTTGAAGCAGCGAAATTAACTTAAATGAAGGGAACATTTTATCGATATACAAGTATTGTATTTATACACACCTTTATTGTTGTATTTCGCAACCACCACTGGCACCGTATTTAGAGCCACCGTCGGTGCTACTGTGGTTACTGTCGTTGTTTGTGGAATGTCTGCAATGAAACAAATGAGAATAGGGTAGAGAGGCAAGTGGAGAGAAAGAGAAGTAGAATGTTGGAAATGCAAAACTTTAGTATGTAAATTTAAGAGGAAAATAAATAGTTAAGCTTTACAATTTAAATGAGTAAGAGAATTAAATGGAAATTGTATATGACAAGATTTTATTGTTTTGTTTTTATGATGTTCTGTTATTCGATTTTGAGAAATATTATTTATTAAATCTATATAAAAATACTTCTAAGTAAAAGTATAATAAATCAGCGTATTAAATAAATTTTATAGCAACATATTTGCATAAAACAAAATTTTAAGTTTCGCACTCCACCTCACAACAGTAAAATTTAACCGATTGGGAAATACACCTAGCTAAGAATTATATTGAACAACTGCAATTACTTTACTTTGATAAAAACTTGCGAACGGTTGTAACATAGAACAAGCTAGAAAGGGCTGCAATAATATAACTAATTGATTGGCCGATATTTTCAGTAAAATGTCAGCCATCGGCACTGAAATACACATATTCGGTTTTGGATGACTTGAAAAGTTTTAATCCGATTTCGACAGTTTTTAAACAATGCTGCTGAAGTATTTGGGCAGTGAGTTATCGCACTTTTACAAAAAATATAGAGCCAAGCAACCCAAGTTGCATCAAGACATTTTAATTTTTACTTAAGCTTGATCAAACGGACGGAGAGACAGATAGCCAGAATTCAACTCGTCTCACTATCCTGATCATATATATCTATTTAACTCGATATAAATCTTGCTTAGTTTTAGGTGTTGCAAACAACCTCTCGGTGAACTACACTATTTTACTATACAGAAACATGTTGTACAGATATATATTTCCTTTTTATTAATTGCTGAAAAACGCTCGAAATTCGGTCTTATCGTCTTGAATACGCACTTAAAATTTGGCATACGATGATTGAACTAAAACACAGTTTTTAATTTTGAATAATGCAGCTTAAAACAAGAAAAACTTTAAACCCAAATACCAACGATTCCTTATAAGATTCCCATGCAGATTTCTTGTCAAATGTAAAAGCTTTTCATACATCACTTGATTCCGATCGTCCAGTTTGTTGGCATTGGTCCTATATTCGCGGTTTCGACAGGTTTTTGTTGAGAAAAGCATGTGTGCAAAATTTCACACTTTTTTCGATATCCCAAAAGCTTAGCGACTAATTCGCGTATATACAAACGGACAGATATACGGATATGGCTGAATGAAATTGACTCAACTCGTCATTCTGATCATTCATATATGTATATATTTTATAGGGTCTTTCTATTGGGTATTAGAAATTTCGTGCAAATTGAATATGTTATATCTCGTTCAGGGTATAATGCGTCACATTCTCGATCTTATTGTACGCCTGTTATTTTCCAACATCGTCTAAAGAAAAGCATATTATTTTGATTTTTATGAATAAGATAATTTTGGCTGAAAATGACATAGAATATGAATACGTTGCACATTTCAAACTTTTAATAAAATGGTTGTAAGCGAAAGGTTGTCCATGAAATGCTTCGTATTTATGTTTTAGGATTGCAGCTGCAGTACCCTAAACAGTTCTTCTAATATACTTTATAAACATATATTGCGTTATTTTGATGGCATTTTCTGGTTTAAATTTAATTTTGACTTATAACTTTCATGAAATTTGAATTTAAAACTTTCGGCCAAGTTGGTAATAATAACCTTATTGTAACTAAATGTTTGAATTTTTCGTTTTGCTATAGCTTTAAATTGGATTTTAAAATTTAATACCTACAATGCGTATTTCTGCTTAAAGACAATTAAAATTACTTTATATTTAATGATTTGAGGAATTGTTATTAAAATATAGATATTTACATATAAAGTTTCACAAATTATTCAAAAAAACATTTTGATCCATAGATTTTTGAAATTTCAATTCTCTAATTAACTTAAAACTGCCCAAGAAATCTTGAATGCAAAAATCTCTTATTTGGTAATCACTTTGTAACTACCTACTAATTAAGTAAATAAGTTAGACCTACGTGGTTTCAAACATTATGCAACAGTAAGTATTTATGTTGTTATTTAACTTAATATATTCAATTATTTGCAAACCGAAATCTTTCCATTTAATTTCTAATACCCAACTTAATAATTATCATATGCTGCACAGTCAAAAGCCGGCCAGCCACGCAGCAACGTGACTGTTGACCTAAGTGGCTATGGCTGCTTGTAAATAATATCTAGTACATAAGTATAAAGTAACACTTGAACACCTAAGCTTATGCTTTGATTATTATGTATATTTATGAGTGCGTGTGTACATATGTATACACCTGTTCAACTCCATTATATTTAATGTCACATTAATTATGCAATACCTTTCGGTTGTAGACAGCTAATATGCAGTCAAGTAACTGGCGAGTTGAAATGCATGAGAAATTCACCAAAATCCTTAACTATATATGTTGGTATGTGTATGTAAGGAAATGTTAGAAACTGAAGCATTCACACAGTAAATTCTACAATTTGTAATTACTCGAACTGCTATCTTGCTATGAGTCACTTGACTAAGACTCCTGTTAAATGCAAAAAGCTTTCTTATAAATACTCACAAATCACAAATTTATTTCAAAGTTGGCAAGCAGACAAATGGTCAAGTGGACAGTTTTGTACATATTTGTGTGTTGCTTGAAGTAATCAATATGATTTTCTAGTTGGTCGGTTCTATCAAGTTCATTTATCTACCTGGTAAATATTGGTGTACAATTAAACAATCTCATAGTCTAGAATAGACAAACAATAATAAAATGTGTGCAGTAGGGCGGGTTGATTTTTCTTCAATAAAATCGCATAAGTGCAACAAGTTCTACGAATCATTCTGAACAATTTTGCTTTTGAAACTATGGGTCTAAAACCGGTTTCGAGCTAGTGATTTCCAAACCGAAATTTAGCTCTTATGGATTATAAAAATTTGTTTATAAATTTTTGAGATATCCAAATGAAATTTAATACGCAGATGTATTTTGCTATTACGCAGATTATTTGTCGGATTCAGCCATTTCGGATAGCTTTAACATATAACTCCCACACAATCGATTACTCAGATTTTATATTTTCCGATATACTGTTTTTAAGCCGCTAAGTTTAGACGTGTTTTTATGAGCTTGTCATTTTCCGCTTGATAAAAGCTCGCACTTTGTGGCCTTTTCGTGAATTCCTGTTCAAAAACAATATTATAACCATGCCTTAGCCTCTATATTCGCCAGACATGGCTACATGTGAAAGAAAAGAAAACTTTAAAAGGCCGTCGTTTCACAAGCATAGGTGACATCAAACGCGCATCGCTGAGAGAGCTAGAGATTATCCCTAAACCCTATTTGAGAAGTGTTTCGACGATTGGAAGTAGCGCTAGCATAATATCGAATTTGGACAATTTTGAAGGCGACAACATTTAAGTAGGCGATTGAATCAATAATTTTTTCATAACACGAAAATTGTAATTATTTTTTGCACACAATACGTATACTACCATTGTAAACTACAATAAGTGAATTCGTATGAAGCAGATCACTTTTTAACAATTTTTTGATACATTTTTGAAATTTTGTCTTCAGGTTCCCTTGTAGCAGAATACTAAGGTACTACACTTTCTTTTATTCATATTTCTTCAAATTATTCTACTTTGGTATATAAAGAAATTACTTTATACTTTTTTTCTTCTTGTATGAAGAATCCACAAGTAATTTCAACAACTTCTTTGCTTATAAAGTTTGTTGCAGCATGATTCAAGAAATGTTTTTACTAAAAGCTTACTTTTATATCTTGACTTCTAAGTAAATATTATTATTGCACTGACCCATTTTTTAAATCTACTAATTTACTAAAACTCTAAAACTAATTTCAACTTACATAGCAGTCACCATACACAATGGAAAATATCTCCATAAGCATAGAAATTTGTAAGTCATTACTCTACCAAATTCACAAACTGTTACAAGCTTCTACTGTGCATATGTACTATTTGTGTACAAGTATGAATGATTCCCTATATTGATTTATACATGTTTGTGTATGAATATCTGTTTACTTACGATAAAGTTTAATTGTGCCATCTGTATCACCAAGAGAATTCTTGGCCACACAACGGTAAGAACCAAAGTCCGCTGTGTCAACATCTTTTATGGTTAATCGCATCGTTATTTTGTAGCCAGTCTCAAAGGTTTCGGAAGCAAAGTGTTCACCTAAAATACAAAATTGAAATATCATGTGTTATTAAGATATATTTATATATGTATATGTATGTATATGTAAGTATGTGTTAATAATACGTATTGCATTTCTACTGAAATAGACAAGGATTACATACGACTTGACTCTGAGTCTGGAAAACATACTGAGCTTTCTGTGCAGAGGTACACAAATAAAGTCAAGCAGTGAGCGCAGTATCATTTAGAGAGTATAAATAAAATAGTAGCCGCCTGCGGACAAAATTAGTTAATGTGAACACCATTTATTTTCATTGTAGTTATGTTTTTACCGTTTTATCTACGTGGCTGAGTATGTTTGACATGTACATTTGCTCAGCGATTACATTAGAGTATTGCATAGTAAGATGGGAACGCAAAGTACTTTAGAAGTTACCATACCTAACAATAAGTATAGCGTATTTTAATTAATTTAAGAATTGTGACAATATTATCGTACAACAGATGTGCCATGATATATATATATATCTAGTTTCATGCTGGTAAAAGTAATTTACTAAAGAGGCTATCGAAGTCATTTTACGTAATTTTTACGAAGCTGACATTTTCAAATATTGAATATTATACTTTTTTCATATATCGAATTTTGTTGCATACAAATATCATACTCTATGTATTCGTGCCGTACACACTTAATTCATTTTGAATTTTAACTTATTTGCCTGCATGTATGTCACTCAACCACAAAAATGCATTAAGTTCTTGAAATTTTGTCGAGTTTATTTGCATTTGACTCGACAATCACCAAAAAATATACATATGCATATACCATACATTAGGGTGACCCAAAAAAAACGAATATTTTTAATTTATTGGTTAAAGTGAACTTATTGATCTATTGTTCTTCATTTTTCGTTAGAGTTTTGTTGTATATCTGTATATTGATCTGTATATCTAATCTGCATTTACTTTTTCAAGGCTCTTAAATATATTTATGATTTTTTAAATTAAAAAAAAATTCTTTTAAGCTAGATTTTTTAAGAAATACAAACTTATGCTCTAAAAGAATTATCGATATAAAATTGTATCCTTACTGGTTCAAATGGTAATTTTAAAGTGAGTAGTTTTTTTTATGAAATAGGAAACTTTGACAGCCCGCTGGCATCCTTTAAAATTAAGCTAGAAATTCTATCTTGAGGGGATACTTTTTTCTGTATATACATACATATGTTCGGAAGTTGACAGACGCGTTACAGGATATATTTGCATTAGTGTTTGCGAAACTTAACATAATACATATATTTATGTAGATTTAAGCGCATACTTACTCCTACTCTTTGCGAACTTAAGTATTTTAACATATATTTCTTAATTAGCATATGCTCGTATAAATATACATACACCTTATAAGTAAACCTTGAAAATTATAATTAAACCTTAAAAATCATACAACTTATCGGAAAGCTGGAAAATCACAATACTTAATGTATCATCCTGGTTGACAACTATATGGGCTAGTAAGCCCTATGTTCTTTACTTTAAAGTAGTATCATTTTAGTTTTGTCTTATTTTACCTTTTATGCCACTTTTCTGTCACTTTGTGAAAACGAGAAGTTAACTCAATCCTCAAAAATCTTTTGCATTCAACCACTATCGGTTTTGTCATTTGCTGTATTTATCATCTCTGTTGCATATAAAATTTTATGTATATATATACTTGTGAGTGTGGTTTTTTAACTCTTGCAACATGTTGCTAAAGAGTTTAGTAGTTTTGTTCACCCAACGGTTGTTTGTATCACCTAAAACTAAACGAGCCAGATATAGAGTTAAATATATATATGTGTTAAATGATCAGGATGACGAGAAGAACTGAAATCCGGATGTCTGTCTGTTCAAGTTTTAACTTGAGTGAAAATTGAGATAACTGGTACAAGTGTTCCTTGGCAAAAAAGTGAAAACAAAACTCCGTTAAACGAAAATCGAATAAAGTGCCAAACACTAAGCACAAAATAACCATATAAGACTGTAATTCGGCACAGGGAATCACAGTAGCAAGAGGCACCTGTGGATTACAAATTCTGAAAACAGGGACGCGGCCCCGCCCTCTAAGAGGTTAAATGTATATATCTACTAAACCATTTAAGGCACAATAACAGTTCGCTCAATAAAAATTCCGTAAGCACCCTTACCGACACTATAAACTCTCTCCTCACTCACTGTCTCTGTTAAAAACTACTAAAAGCGCGATAAATCAGTAAATAAATATGCCAGAGAGATTAAATTTTACACTCGGGTCAAAATTGAACGATGGGCGTGGCACCGCCCACATTTCAGTGAACGCCTATATTTCAGGACCTACTCAACCGATATCGACCAAATTTGGTACGTATTATTATCATGACATTCCAATATTTCAGTGCAAAAATGGACGTAATCGGACTACAACCGCGCCTACTTCCTATTAAACATAATTTTAAATTCAATCTGATGCTTTAACTCTGCAGTATTCAATACAAGCAACAATGAATGTATCAGGATGAAACTTTGCCTTTGCTTTTCAGGTGCGCCACCTTATCAACAAAAATTGTCTAAATCGTATTAAAACTAGTCAAGCCCCCAGATACCGAAAATGTGGACCCCAATTTCTACAGCGAATATTTTATCGAAAATATCTGGCAATCAGTGAGATATATTTTGGAAATTCGAAGAGAATCCTTTTCTGATAATAATATGTATGTCTGTATGTCAAAACTGCGTTGTAGCGGGTCAATAATTTCTATGGCCACCATATACCTAACAGAAAGATTTTCGAACTAGCGACTGACTTTGTATCGCGTATATCGGCAAGTAAGATACCTTTGAAAAAATGCAATATTGGACATATGCACTATAGTTTAATGCCAACAATATGTGAGCTTGATCCACAAAATATACAAACTCCTATATACACAAATGTATATTGATATTGTTGTTGTAACAAACCTTAAGCACATAAAGGCATTTCCCTGGTTTTGTTCCTGTCAACTTGCAAGAGTATGAAATTTTCGGTTACACCCGAACTTAGCTTTACCTTACTGGTTGTATTTATTTTTTGGTCTTTCCAAATAAAACATCTCGGTTGCAATGTAATGGTCAGACGATTCGTGCTGACGCATTTACAATTTGAGCGGACGCTTTTAAATAATTGCATCGCTCACTGAAGGACTGTCTCCATACCACTATATTCTTCTATGTTTGAGAAGTGTACGTGAAATGTGCATAAGTATCACATTTCACGTACACTTCTCATTCAGTTTTTGTGCGTGTCACTTTTCTTTGATTTTCCCTTCCTTTTGTGGACTTTTACTCTCTGAATGTTTATTTGTCCGAATATATACTCGTTTTTATAGCAATGACTAACTGTTGGGATGTAAATATGTGTTGTTGTTCATATGTCTGAATGTGATTAAAAAATGGCTGACAAAAAGTTAATTAAACGTCCGTTGCACTTTCAGTTTCTATAGTTAACTACTATAGATTTGCTGCAATCTTTTTTACAGAGCACTTAACTTGATAAAACCAACATTTTGTTGACTTAATTTAAGTTAGTTGAAAATCAAAAAGAGAATGTTGATTAGTAGTGGTGTTTAAATACTTTAAAAACACCTTAAAATGTAGTTATTCTTGCGTTATGCTTGAATTCCTTTTAATTTACTTACCTGGCACTATGATCGTGTCGTTTTTCGTCCAGTAATTGATAGATTTCGGATATGCCTCTGACTGACATTCAAGTGCTATATTTTGGCCGGTGGCAGCACCAACTAGCTGGTTTTGTATCCAAATCATTGGAGGGACTGTTAAAAGCAAAAAACAAAATGAAAAGATAATTATTTATATGTAAATATGTACAAAATAAAACTTTTGAGGCATAGTTGTAATCAACTTTAATAAAAATATTTCAAAACATGTAAGGAAGGGCTAAGTTCGGTTGTAACCGAACATTTTACACTCTCGCAAAGTCAAATGGTATACTCGTTTGCGACTTCTTTGTGGATTGACTAATATTTTCAAGGTCAACTATAGGCACTGGGGTCCACATATTTAATACTTAGGGGCTTGAACAGTTTTGGTTCGATTTAGACAATTTTTGGTCACAAGGTGGCATACTTTAAACGTATTATTCACGCAAAGTTTTACTCCGATATTATCATTGTTGCTTGATATGCATAGTGGAAAGTGAAAGAATCAGATGGAATTGAAAATGGTGTTATATGGGAAATAGGCATGATTGTAGTCCGATTTCACCCATTTTCACACCGTCACATTAAACCTATTAGGGGCGGTACCACGCCAACTTAAAAAAAAAAATTCTAACTGCAGATGCCTCTCCCTAATGTGATCCTGTGTACCAACAGTCTTGTATCTTATTGCGGAGCTTAGTTATGGCAATTTATTTGTTTTTGACAACCGTCTCACGGTACCAAGAAACATGTCTACCAAGTTTCATAAAGATGTCTCAATTTTTACTTAAGTTAGAGCTTGCACGGACGGACGGACGGACGGACGGGCAGACAGTCACCCGGACTTCAACTCGTCTCTTCATCATGATCATTCATATATATATAACCCTATATCTAACTCGATTAGTTTTAGGTGATACAAACAACCGTTAGGTGAATAAAACTATTATACTCTGTAGCAACAGGTTGCGAGAGTATAATTACAATAGAGGTGCCAGTCCAACGCGGAATCACTGGCAACAGATGATGATAGGCAGACAACAAAAGGCATCTTAGCTGGGCTTCGCTGAAGCTTGGTCAGCGCTTGGTTTTTGCGCTGTCGTAACATTTCTTTGAGTCAAAGTGGAACTCAAGAGGTCCAATGAGTTCGCCCTCAGTATGGCTAGCGTTTTTTTAAATATATCCATGCGCGTATGCAGTTTTAGCAGCTGTTTGAAGAAAGATACTTCTTATTGATCGTCCCTCCTGTGCGAGACACTTGGAGCTCAAACTCAGATATCACAGTGAACTGGTGAGAACAAAAATAAAACGCCTAAGCAGATTTGTATTGGCGTCAAGGAGTTCTATCATAAAAGATTTGACTACAGGAGTGCTAGTGAAGCCAAAACAAGAAGGACTGTGTACAACAGCAGCATGCTGCGTCCAAGTGCGATTCCTATCTTCAGATTTAGGCATTGAACCAACCTTTCAAAACTCGCATATGAGAAGAAGTTGCATCAGTCAACGAGAGTTTAAAATGAGTTTCGTTTCCGTTAAAAATTTCTAATTTAATATATATTTTTTTGTAGTATTCAAGGTTTGCAAGTATACTTTTAGTTCTTTCCTTCCTGAAGCTACAGCAAAAGTTTAACAGACCAATAAAATGTAAATGCATAAACGAAACTTGCAACAACATGCCGTTAGCAGACAGCAGGTTGCCACATACGTGTTATTTCTATTTTAGTTGTGCGCAAAAACTTCTCGTCAAATAAATAAAAAAAGAGTTGCCGGTGAACTTTTATTTTTTTCGCGTGAAAAATAAAATTTTAAGTTAAGTTGTGTAAGCTTGCATAGATTTTTTTGCCGTGTAGGTGTTCATTCAGTAATTATCATTTCGCGAAAAAAGTGACGCTATTGATAATAACGGCATTTTCTGCTCAATTTCGAAGAAAATAAGTACCGATAAAGATCGTACCATCATCCGCACCAAACGGTAAATTTTTTAGGATGAAATTGCGTTTCCTGAACACGAAAATTGAACTCACCCCAAAAATGACAAATTTGTTTGTTGACGAAGCTACTAAACCGGAAATAAGACTCATTTGGAAGAATAATTTTTCAATGGTCGTGAATTCGTGAATAAGGATAGATTTCGAATAACGTGAATTTACGTAATAATCTTGCACAATTCCCAAGCGTTGTTCCAAAGTGAAACGTGACTTGATGATATAACAAAACTTACTAAACACACTGACGAAATTTTAAACAAATCCGTAAGCAAACATGAACACTACGCGCTGTTAAAATCACGTCATCCCTATTTGTAGACGCTGTATATGGCTAATGTTTACTTATATTATTTGTTTTTATTTTGGTGTAAACGGGTAAGTATGAAAAAGTAAGGGTGCTGACGCAGGAAAATTGTATTAAAGCGGAAAATGAGTGTAACCACGTCATGCTACAATGTGGTTTTGCTGATTTTAGTTTTGTTGTTGCTATAAGTCATACTACATCTATGTTATATTTAAATTATTTTAATAAATAATAATAATAACCCAACGATAACCCTCCTACCGCATTAGGCCAGTTCGTTAAGCGTAGGAATCTAAACCTGCTCAGCTTAAGAAACAAACATTTCAACAGCAAAGATTTAAAATTACGTTATAATGGCTCAGATAAATCAAATGTGTAGGAATGAGAATTTAAATCATGATATATGCGGATATGTTCGTTTAATTCAAAATTTGGTCTACCTGATTTTAACAGTAAGCGTCTAAGCTAAATAGATAAGCCATGACGGTTATTAAATCAAACTTCAAGTAAGAGAAAAGAAGTAATGAGTGTAGGTAGATTTAAATGTTTTAAACGACTAGTGTATGGAGCCAGACTTCACCTACAAGGCTTTTGGAAATGCCTTAAAGCATATGTCTTCCTTATTATAAAAATTAGTGAAGGATGCCTAACAGAACGGTGAAGGAAACATTGTAGCTTAGACCAAATTGCTAGCATCAATATAAATACAATAATAAACGCTCGCTTTTTTAATACGTTTTTTTTTTGGTAACACTAAATCTCAAAACCTAATTTTTTACCTACATTTATGTTGCTATTATTTCTTACAAATACTTACAGTGCACAACCAGCATGACGCGCTTGCTGACCGTTGGCGGTATGCCATTTGAAGCGATGCATAAATATGCCCCCATATTGAGGCGTTGTACCTTAGTGATCGTCAGGAAGGAGCCATTGTAGGCAATAACTGCAAATATAGAGGTAGAACATAGATGTATTGAAAGTATAATATTAATTATTAGTGGGTCAGCTGCTAGCATTATTAAGAGAAGTACTTTTGTGATTTCTTTGGATATGTGAAAATATAAAATATTTAATAACTTAATGTTCTTAAATTTTGTTTATTATTTGAAGTTTTAAAAATGTGAATATTTAATTAATATTATTAATTATAATTGTTGATTATTGGCTACAACAACGTTGACGTTTATAAATTCCACTAACCAACCAAATTGCTTTTGCTATTGCTTAATTTTCTTGTAGAACTTTTCCAGTGTACATGGCGTATGAGTAACTTCGCAATATTTGAGAGGCGCAACTATGTAAAATTCCAAAAAAAGTAAAAGAATATTTTGCATATTTCCATAGTCTATACTTTTAAGAAGAATATTCTAAAATTTGAAATTAATATTTCAAAAGTTTTTTGTTTTAATTACAGCTTTCAGCAAAGTGTAGCTGGCAATAGTTAATTTAGACAATCAATTAAGCGGTTACATGGATTTCGTCGAGAAAAAACGCCCTATTTTCAATAATTTTTTTTTTTCATATAAAATATGAAATAGTTTATTCAAACTTTTTATTATTCCGGAAGATACATATTAGATAAAGATTTGGTGAAATTTTCAAAGATTTGGGAAATTTTCATAAGAAAATATTCAAAACTCGGTCATTACAACGTCATCTCCGGCAGTCCCCCGGAAAAAAGTAGCTTCCGTGTTGACAGCGGAATTTCTGACAGGATCATCAAAAGAAAAAGAAAAAAAAGTACATATTTGAACCAAAATCATTAAATAGGTATTGGAGGGAGAAAAAAATAAAACAAAGGGAAATTTTATTTTTGGCAGACGTTTTTACAACAACATGCACATTTTGGTAAACGTTTCACGATGTTTTTTTGTTTTTTATGTAGTTGTAATTGAACATAAAGAAACTATATCTCAATGACCTGTGCAAATTTCATTAAAATCGGTTGAATAGTTCGCGAGAAATCTTGTCAACCGATTTCAAAACACAGTTTCGAGAAAAACGCGTTTAAAGCTTTAACTAACTGTATAGCTGACCTCGAGCGCGCAACTTTTTAAAGCTATATCTCCCAAAATAGTACTGGTATCAACTTGAAAATTAAAGAAAATATTCTAGAGATGTTATAGATTTAGATCACACAATAAAAAAATTTAAAATAAACATTTTTTTTGAAAACGTGAAACCCATGTAACCCCCTAAACATGAAGAGAACCATCCAGGCGCTCTGATCTCTTTTCTACTTATTTTTATGTGTATTTCTGTACAAAAACCTTCCAATTTTTTTTTTTTTTTTTTTATGAAAAATCTAGTTTTGTCTCATTTTGACATTTCCTCCTAGTCTGCCATTTTGTTAATTTTAAATTTATATAGTATTGTAACGTGGAAAACCAGTTAAATTCATTCCTTTTTTGTTATAAATTTTTTTCGTATTTGATTTCGTAGATGTGGTAAATAACTTTTTATCAAACATAATTAACTTTGTGATATACTCACGAGACGCATTTTAAATTCTATGACAGCTGAAACTGTTGAAGTTTAATTTAATATTCATAGATATTTCCAATCGCTATTAAAAATTCATTTCGGATGTGGACACAATATATAAAAGCTAATTGCTATCGAATTGGGGCGGATGTGCTTGCAGCATTTACGTCATCAAATTGAATTCATGTGGAAATTCAAAATAAATTCACGATTCGTAATATGAATTTTTGTGTTGTTGCATTTCTGGTTTATGTGAAATTCAATGCTAACCTCAAAAACAATTGAAATCATTTCGTCGTTGTTGATGTCGCTTTCATTGCGGGCAAGTACCATAACTTTCACTCGCGAGGTTTATATGCGAAAATCAATGCTCAAGGGCAGAATTTCCTACATAATGCAACGCGTTTATAACAATAATGTTGTGGAAATTTGGGATTGTGTAGCAATGTCTAGTTAGTCAAATGTTTAAATTTATGGCGGAAGAGACCGCTTTTAGCAGCAGCAAAGAGAAAATATGCTACATTATACACGTTTTTGTCGATAAAAGTGAAAACCCAAGCCAGGTTGAAGAATATGTGAACCGTATTTACGGCTAATCGTGGGCAATTTCGGTTTCGCCGATTCCGTTCTAGCTATTTTTATATTAAAGATGCACCCCGCTTTAGAAGACCAACTGTGGAAAGTTTAAAAAATTGTTGTGTTGTCGCAGTGAGCCGACGCAAACGGAATGGTTTACTTAGAGTTTGTGGAATTGGCGGAAAATATCTGAGCTGCTCCATTGAAACCAAACTAGTAATACGGATCTCTAGTGTCAACAATTGGACTGTCTGAAGTAAGCCAACGCCAAAACTTGTCAACCTTGGACATAAGGAGAGGAATTGCGTTTCATCAGTACCAAGCCATACACATCGCAATAAAGTCAGCCGGAAGTTCGAAAATCTTTATATTAGGTATATATGAGGGCTAAAGGAAGTATGGTTTCGGTACATTCCTTTTTTTACATACAAGCATAACATAATCAATAAAAGGTATTTTTCGAATTTGAATAATGTATTTCACAGATTTACCAACATTTTCGATTAAAATTTCGTGAAGGGGCCTGGGTTCAACATAGCTGGTAGCTGTGCGATTGAACAGTTGTAGCCCGATTTTGATAATTTTCAGCAAAGTTTTAACCAGATGTATTGATTTGTTATTGATTTGTATACTGAAAAGTTAAAGAATCGATGGAATTTAATATTGTGTTATATGGTAAGTAGGCGTGGCTTTCGTCCAAATTAGCTCATTTTCACTCTGTAATATAGGAAGGTCAAGATAATATTACCTTTGGTGGAAGTCGGTCGAGTAGGTCCCGAGGTATGTGATTTTACCTTAAAGTGAGCGGTGTCACGCCCATCGTTAAATTTTGACACCGGCTCTTATTAAACCCTCATATGCCATCTTAGGTGTAAAATTTAATTTCTATGGTTCATTTAGTTAGTAGTTTTTAACAAAACCGTTATATGGGCAGTGAGCGAGGTTATCATACGATTTCAGCTATTTTCACATTATCGAAAGAAGGGTTGAACAAATTTGGTCAGTGCAAATTTGGGTGATATAGCTTTATTGGTGTGGAAGATATATACATTAAACTTATTAGGGAGCGGGGCCACGGCCATTTTTTAAAGATTTTCACACATGTGCACTCCTTAATGTAATTCGTTGTGCTAAACTTGACTTCTGTATCTTAATTTACGGCTTACTTTTGGCTCTTTATACGTTTACGTTTATGGCGTTTTGTGGGCGTTGCAGTGGTCCGATTACACCCTTTTAAGAACTTTTTTTTTTTGCCAAGAAACATGCGAAGTAATTTTCATATATATATCATAATTTTTACTGAAGTTATCGCTTGCACACACGGATCGACCGACAGTCATCCAAATTTAGACTTGACTCCTCAACCGGATCATTTATATATACATAACCCTATATCTATCTTTATTATTTTTAGGTGATGCAAACAACCGTTAGTTGAACAGAACTATTATACTTTGTAGCAACATGTTGCAAGAGTATAAAAACAATCACAAATTATCGAAATGAAACCTTCAGTTCAATACAAAATTAATTTTTATTTTTAGGCTTAGCATATAAGACTACATACATAAATTTGACAATAATAGACACACTCAAAGAGTGGTAATATTTTGCTTTCTTTTAAAAAAAAAATACAATTTTTTTTTTGTCATTTACCTAAATTATCTAACAATTTAAATAGTAAGATCACCCTGGTCTAAAATTTTTTTTTTCATTTACGCAACGGGTCAATGCATTAATCATGAAAAGGGAAAATATATGAAGAATGCACATTTCCCTATCAAAAAAGCCTTTTTTTCAAATGCGTTCATTGTTATGCAAAAAAAAATTTATTTAAAATACAATAAATAATATAAATATGCGTTTAAGTGGGACCAAAATAACAGCAGCATCATTTATGCATACTACAATAATTTGGTATAAATGCAAATCTCAACTTAATATGGTATGTCGAAACTAAAAATTGAAAGTGAAGAGTTAAGTCTAATATTATTTGTGATTTTAAATAAACACACTTAGCTATTACGATTTAAGGCTTCTATAATTTTATTTATTATGAAAAGAGTTATCATATGTCTATACAGTACATACATGTGTATGTATCACGTACTATACAAACATATGGTAACTGAAAAATAAACATTTTAAATAAATAATCATTTTAATCATATAATTTACTGACCTTCTGTATTGTCGGGCAGCGGTATGGGTTCGCCACCTTCGCGTCGCCACGTTATGGTCGGTGTTGGTGAGCCAACTGCTGCACATTTCAATGTTACGTTGGCGCCCTCTCGTATCACCATATCTGTGCTGGTTGGATAATCAAGGATATCGGGTGGCACTGCTTACACGAAATGTAGAAAGAGCGAATGTCGTAATAACAACGAAATAAGTAAAATAGTGAGAATTGTAATGTTGACATTGCATTGTATTGCATTGCATAACGGTGACATAATGTTCATAGGCATTGTTATGTTGTCCAGCGAAGTCGTCATTGTCGACATCATCATGTTGCAACAGATGATTTTGACATGGCACGTGATTTGTGAGTAGCGCCAGCAGTAGCAGCAGCGTTGAAGTGTTAAAATTTGGCAAAAGGCAGATTGGCGTGTCATGTTGGGATGTTGTTGTTGGACAGCGACAGTGGAAATTGAAAGGATTTTAATTTTGGAAGCGTGTTGCAATAAAATTTCAATATAATTCGCATATTTCACGCAGACAAAAATCATCAGTTGATGTTTAGTTGTTGAGTGTTGTTTTTTCAAAAGTGGTAAAAGTAGGAAATTTGCAAAAGAGAAAAAGTCAAAGAGAAAGAGAATTGAATATTTGTTAGTTAGCTAACTTAATATATATATATATATTTATATATCTACTTGATTTCTACTAGTTAACTACAAAATTATTTCAAGGATTGTTTTAGTTCTGTTCTATTTAATCTAATATTATTTACTTACAAGAGTAATATGTGCTATACTCAATTAATAATATTTTAATAATTAAAAAGATATTTTTAGCAGCGCTGTAGTTTGTATTTTAGTCTAGAAATTCAAACATTTTTTCAGATTTCGTTAGCTTGGACATATAGAGAGAATTTTTACAAATTTAAATTTTTTAATATCTATATAATCGATAGTCTACAAATTCAAAACTATTACCCTACAAGAATTTTTCAAAGTTCGAATCATTTACAAAGCTATAGCCGTTTTAATATTGTGGCAAATTGGCCGGTTAAGTCTTAACTTAAAACTTTAAACGCGTTATTTTTCGGAACTTCTCGATGTGGTCGTGTCGATATGTATATTTTTTATTAGTGATTTAGATGAATATTCTTTACATCTGTCTCTATTCTATGAACCAACGTAAACTGAAAATTTCTTATGTGTAATATTTTTAAAAAAATTCGGGGAATTTAAAAATTTGCGGTTTTTGCACCAAATTTATTAAAATTTTTTTTTCAGTTTTGTTGATTCTTACTATAAAAATATTTATACTAATCGAGTCTAAGTAAGTGCACAAACATATATTCAGTTCGAGAGAAATTTTTTCAATCTATGACAAAAGTTTCCAGGTCATAGATGAAAAACCTGTTATGTCTAAAACATAACAGTTGTTAATAAATGAGAAATAGTTTTGTATTTTCAATTATAGTGTTTAATAGACATGCTTTATCATGCATCGTATACTCAAAATTTGTAGAGATAGAAATTAAATAAAACAGATTATATTAATATTGTATATTAGGCTTCAAAAATTTTACATGTCCCTTTTTTTAATGCCTATGTGTGTGGGTAAATACACAGGTTTAAATTGTTTTATTAAATTAAGGCCCAAATCAGTTCGAATTCACAACAAATAACAGACTCTTACAAGTCACACTTTGTTAAAAAAAAAAGTTTTAAATAAATTTTTGCAGATTTTAATTTATACTTTACTATACATATAAAAATTGCTTATGTGAAATAATTTAATATACTTTAGACTGCATAAAAGCTCAGAAGCGGTGAGATCCGTATAATATTTAAAAGTCATTTCACAAAAAATTTTACTAATTCTTTACCTTCAAATATAAAACAATTGCAACATATTTACGCACATGTAGTTGTATGGTATATAAATTATAACCAAGTATTCAATTATTTCCTTCAATATGCAAAAATTTCAATAAAATAAAATATTTTGTTGTAAAAATTTTATTTTGACATACATATGTACATATCATCACAAATGCGGAATTAAAAATTTCAAATTAAAAAAAAAACATTTTTGTAATTGTGGTCAGCAGCACAAGAATTTCTCCAGCGGAATATATTGTAGTTTCAATATGTTGGCTTTTGCCAAACACAGAAGTTCAGTAATCGGTTATAACGCACAACCTCACCAGCTTTTGTCACTTCAGTTCGCGTATGTCGAATATGACGCGTTTTTAACCAAAATATGTTAACGCGTGGTGCCCTTTTATTTTATGTATTTACATATTTTTGATTTTACGCGAGCTTTTCAACCACATATGGCAACCAGTGCGGAAGAGGCTCATAAAAAATACGTTTCAATCAAAATCTCACGCAAATGTAAGCAAGATTTTTTTTATAATTTTATTGCTCTGAAAATTTGCATTTATATTCTAGTCTGTTTTACTTTTTTTAATGTTTTCAAATTGCGAGGGTATAAATGCTTTGGTTAAATTCAAACTGAGCCTTAGTTGTTTTAAAATGGAAGTAATATTTAGAACTCCTAATTAAGACTAAAGGCCAGAAGCATTAATATTGAAAATAGACTCTTTACCTTCATGAATTTGCATTTAAAATTCCTTATAAACAAAAATTGCCTTATAAATATAAAAAGTTCTTATTTTCATAGCTAAATTTTAATTCAAGTAAGAAATAATTTTTTTATCACTTGTTTGAATAGAGAAAACATATATTAAAAACTACTTTACACAAATATAATTTCTCTATTTACTTTCTATGTTCTCTAAAAAAAACAATAAGCATTCCTTCAAGGTCCACTAGCTAAATTCATATACTATTTTGCCAACTAAAACAAAGCAACACGTACTGCAGAGCAAACCCCGTGCTGCGGCTAATGAAACCGTAGCATAGCTTCGAGAGAAAACTTTGCTTTAATTGGCACTACTTACAACATAGTTACTTTCAAACTTTTCGAAACCAATAGGAGGTTAGACATAAATTAGTTGATCGCATATGCGCAAAAACTTAGTTGATCATCAAAACGAGAAAAATCAGGCGATAAGCATGCACGTGACATACCATATATCGGTGTATCGGCGGTTTTTTGTGAAAATGATATATTAATTTTGAATGGGAAAGTAAAAAAAATTATTCAAACTATTCACCATTGCTTTTTCAAAATTTTTACCACCTTTCTAGCAATTTGTGGACAGCGTGACATTCAAAATTTTCATCTATTAAAGCAAACCAATGAAATACCTAATTTTCGACTTCTGCGTGTAGCAGCTCCCAGCCAAGTACTTCGATTGTATTCTGAATCGATTTTGCTTTGTGTGTCGTGTAACAAAATTACTTTGTCGTGTCTTCTGGCCCATTCTGGTCGTTTTTCGATCAATGTATGGTTTAAATTGATCATTTATTTTCTGTAGCGAATAATACTAACACTTTCACCAGGTTTTAGTAGCTCATGATATACCACACCTTTCTGATTTCACCAAACACAGATAATTGCCTTCTTACCGAATCGATCTGTTTTCGCAGTCGATGTTACTAGTTGTCACAGATTAATCCATGATTTCCTTCGTTTAAGATTTTTAAAATAAATCAATTTTTAATCACAAGCGAGAATTTGATGCAAAACTGATTTTCTTTCGTGTCTGTGAAGCAAAATTTCACAAATGTTTTTTCGCTTTTCCATTTGGCTTTCATTCAATTTATATGGCACCCATTTTCCACAATTTTGGATCTTACTCATAGCTTTTAAACGGTCTGGAATTGTTTTTAAGATGACTGTCGTTTGCTTTTGACTCAAAGTATTATCTTCATCCAATATTGCTTGCAGTGTTCACAACAAATGTTCCCTATCAACACATTTGTATCTGAACGCTTACTTCATACCGGCACACCTGGTATACGTGTCGTATACGTAACTTTTGCGAATAGTGGTACAAGAATGCATATGACGTGTATTTTTGGGTGCAACGCCAAGAAGAAAACTACTAAGAATAACGGTAAATTTACATTAATGCTATACAACACGAAACTTGAATCTACAATAGTTATCTGCTACGACGACACTACAGGAAAATAACTAATTGTGCTCACTGCTCAGTAAAGTACTGAGGAAGCTTTGCTGCTATTTTCATTTCAATTCCTTTAATTTATTCCTTGCATTTGTGGAAAGCACAAAAGTTATTTGCAACAGTTGCTGCCAATTAGTTTTAATTTATCTCGAGTGATAATCGAGCTAGTCGGTAATAGTTGTATTTGTTTTGTTTACACCTCTTTGTCTCCCATATGCGCATTTCGAATTTCTTACAAACTAACTCATCCCCATTTACACATACATGGCACACGCATTCAAAACAAGAAAAACCCTAACTTTGGCCGAGCGATTAATATGTACTGCATACTGCGCTAATACCCTTCACAAGTGCATTTCTTGAATTTTGTATTAAATATATCTATACCTAAATCAGAAAACGTTACAGGCCAAACGGTTTGCATCAAACGGAAAACAGTTTTCAAGTCAAATAAAGTTCATTGAGTGAGGAAGAAAGCTCTTTTATGAAGACCCTAAGCTGTAGCATTTCTTTGGACAGTAATCTTTATCAAATTTCGTGAGGAAATCTTTACAAATTAAAAAGTTTTCCATACTACGACTTGGCTTGATAGATCAGTTTATAAAGCAGCGTTTCCGACGTTTCCTTCGGTATAACAAACTTTATGGCAAAATTACTACCTATACCCTGTTTACATTTTAAAAAAGTAACAAAAATTTCCATTATTTACAGTGTCGGACAAAAAAATAAGAGCACTTAATTCAGTAATACTCGACTGCAAATTATTTTTTAACAGCATCGTTTTTGTTAATTTATTTTGTTTGAAGCTTGAATGGCATTTTATGCGCAAAACAAAATATGGTTGGCAACTCCGCAGCTAAATCGGTTTTTGCAAATTCCCCGAATACTGCCAATGTGAAGCGTTTGAAGGTGGACAATAAAATAAGTCGAAAAGAAAAAACCGGTTGTTTTGTGTAAAGTACGGCCAAATTTACCATATCTGTTTTTGCAGCGGTAAGCCATATTCGAGATGAACTAAAGCTCATGTAAGATAAGTGCAAATAATTTCACACTCTAGGAAAAAATGGGTAGAGCGATTGGAATTGCCCAAAAAATGTAAAAAAAAAATGGCGTAACACACTATGGACTGACGAAAGCAACGTTGGGCAAGGCCTCCGAAAAATGCAGCATTTCACCGCAAATTACTGCAAAATCTTTCAAGCTCGGTGGGTCTTCAATAGCGGACTTGTGGAGAATTTTCAAACAAAATATTGAAAGCGTTAGGTAGAAAAACCAAGAAGAATGGTGAAGGAATATTCGAGAAGCTTGGTATTCCATATAGCAGAGTACTGGGGCGACCCTGGGGTATTCAATAGCAAAAAGGTGCCAAGCTGTGTTAAAAAACAATGGCTATTCAATAAAATATGGAATATGCACAAAATTTTACCTTCCGTTTTAATCAAATTTATTAATTAGTTGAAGTGTTGCTATTTTTTTCCTCTCTTAATGTGATTCAGCATAACTTTTAAGAGTGAGTTTTTTTTTACAATGAAATGTTTTTGTTCTTATGTTCATATGAATAAGCTCGTATTGAGCTTCTGTTAAAAGTTAACGGCGGTATTCAACTCACGCAGGGCAAATTTAATTGTAGTTAGTATTATTTACTGTTTATTTGTAGCTTTTGTTGTTTTTGTAACACACCAATATGCAGACTAATTTATTCACTGGTTCGAAAGTAATTGAAATGTAATCTTATGCGTGAAATATCGTACTATAGAAAATTTACTAAAAAGATAAACTAACCATTTCGATTTTAAGTCTACCTTCACGTCATCCAAATATTCATAATAGTGCCCATCGGCAATGCTTAGGTACATGTTCCAAATGTTTAAACTAATATCAGTTGTGCAAACTTTTTTAGCAAAGAAGGTGATGGAAAAGTGAGAGAAAGCATACGAGTATACATATATCTATATAAAAGGGTGAACCGAAAAAAAAAATTTTTTGCTTCTCCTGAGGGTAAAGTCTGTAGATTATAAAAAAAAGAAAATTTTTGGATAAAAAAAAATTATTTTTAACATATAGAGGGCCGCCTGAAGGCGAACTCAGTTTTAAAGTAAATTTTCGAGTTAAAATTTATATTTCGTAAAAAATTGTTAATAAGTGTTCTAGAAGCTGTGGAGAGTCCCCTTTCTGGCCATTATTGGAGTTCTGAAAAAAAGTCTTAAACGACAACATGCATTCCCTAAGCGTTTAAATAAATTTTGAGGCAAAAACCATCACATTCGGTAATTTTTATATAAATGTATAGAGCTTAAACCAAAAATTATTTTTTCTTGTCCAAAATAAATTTTAACTTAAAATTTACTATAAAACTTTTTTTGTAATCTACAGATTTTACCCTCAGGCTAAGCAAAAAAATAAATTTTTTTTTCGCTCCACCCAAATATATATACACAAAAGCGCAATACTAAAAAGTAGCATATCAAGGCGATTTATTAAAGAAATTATATTTGGTAGCAGTAGATTAAATCTCTAGATATTGTGGCCAAAGAAATAATTGACTTTGGATAAGAACAAATAGTTAGTCTAACGAGCCATCTATTGGAAACTCAGGAAGAAATTAGATCTCAAAAGACACAAGACAAAGAAAAGTAATTCAGACATTTTATTTTAATAAAATTTGTGGGCGATATCTTCTTATATAAAGTTAGAGTAGCATGCTAACAATGTAGATGTCAATAAATGTTTGAATAAATTTATTTGCTATGCATATATTGTTCATCCGTCTTTAAGGTCATGTTTTCTCATTATATTCTGATGCAGAATGGCAATACTGGCCTACACCGCGCTGACAAGGCGCTTCAAGGTTAAGAAGTGTCATAATTGTTGGGGCAACTGGTCATTGCAGGATCTAACTTAATCTAACCCATGCAGTAAGGATAAGATTTTGTTAATTGCGAATTTGTAAAGTTGCATGGAAGAAAGGGAGGTGATTGTCGATATGCGTTGATCTTTCTTATCCATAAGAGTTTTAGGCTTCACAAAGCATCAGCGTTTCTAGCTGTTCAAGTACGAGCATTTGTGTCTTAACTAAAAGCAGCCTGATTACCTAACCTAACAATAAGGTCACATTAATTCAATAGAAGGTGCATACAGTCGAACTGGCGATCATTTAAATACCTTTCGAGTATAGTAAACGAATAGTACATAGGTATACACAGATCCTAATGTCATATCTATATTGCTATTGATACTTATACATACATATTCCTGTTGCTTAAATTTTGTTTAAAGTATAATAATAATATAACCAATTGCTATTTTTCACTTTTCTAGATATATCTCACTTTATATTATATTTTATGTAGATAGATTGACTCTATTATGTTTATCTTACTTACCCACAACATCCAGGTAACCAACTTGACTCTTCATCGGATCCGTATTGATCTGGCACATATACCAGCCTTTGTCCGCTTCCTTAACATCACGAATTCTCAATATCCAAGCACGTTTCTCAGCGTGGGTTATACTCATTCGATGATTTTTCGTTATCACGTGGTTTTGTATCGTCAATATTGTTTGTGTGTCGACGCGCAGCCACGCAATCTAGGCAGTGGTCGAAATAGTCATATGACGCACAGAAACGCGTCGGTGTATTTTGTGTGTGGGTAATATATAATCAGAGACGTGGTAACCCGTTCGACACAACCCAGTTATTTTTAGAGTACCACATAAAGCCGCAAGACACACACGTTTAATTGTATGTCCGATCATTAAATTGTTTTTGTTTATTTGTGTTGGTGCGTGCAGATGGATGCGCGTGTTATCGGATTGTTTGTTTATCCAGCGAACGTGCCAGTAGTTATGTTGTATTTACCACGTTGTGCCGATAGACATTGCACACATATCAATGTTGTTGTGTGTGTAGGTTAGTATCATTAAGAAAGCGAAAGAAAATAGAGAAGAAAATTCATATGAAAATCGTTTCTTTACCTTAAGTTTAATAGTTGGACTATTTGCTGAGCTGTACTTTGGATAAACACATACATTCATATCCTGCTATCATATATATAAAGATATGTATGCCTGTATGGACATATGTTGATGAGCATGCAAGTGTATTTATAAATCTTAATATCCACCAGATTGCTTGTGAGCATTGTGAGTCTCTCAATGAATCAGCTAAGGTAGAGTGCGCACTCTTTTCTTTCGGGTTAAGTGTTAAAATAGGATTGAACAAGTTTATTAAGATAAATGGGTTAATTTCGGTGGTCGAATTCGTGGGCAGATATATGTATGTCAACATAGACATGTACCATACATATTGTTATCGAACTACATAAGTATATTTATTTGTAATTATTTGTAATAAAACTTAGTGTTTACTTAAGAGTTTTTACACCCGGAACAAAGTATATTAAGTTTTCCGTGAAGTTTGTAATACCCAAAAAGAGACATCGCAGACCCTGTAGGGTACCATATATCATAAATAATCAGCGTGACGAGCTGAGTCGATTTAGAAGTCTCACTGTATATATAGAAACTAGTCTCTCAGTTTTTGAGATATCGATCTGAAATTTTGCATATATTCATTCTTCTCGAGAAGCTGATAATCTGTTGAAAGCGCAAATATCGAACCACTATAGTATACAGCTGTCATACAAACTGACGAATCAAAGTCAATATAATGTTCATTTATACCCAGTTATAGTTTCGACGCAGTATTTATAATCTTACCTAACATTTCAAAACTACTAATTAAGACTTCTGTGGTTTTATAAAGAATTATTCTATCTAAAACTTATAGTATAAGATCAAATGCCCAACCAAAATATGTATTTAATAAGATGTTAGCTAATAAGAGACTTCATTATAGACTCGTTTATAAGCAAATCCTTTACAAGATAAAAAGTAAAATAAAAATTTTATAACTCTAACACCAACGAGTCTAGGTATATAAAATGAATATGCCCATTTCTCCCAATGTAGGAAACCCTAAAAATATGCAACAAAAAATGTGACCTTCACCTATTCAAATTTACTATGAAAATACCACAAACACTCTGCATAAGGTAATACTAGTAATAATTGTATTACATAATAATGATTGTGATTTGTTGGTGTCATAATGACCAAATAGCATAAAAGTAACAATATGTATCACTTGCATGCGTGTCAAGTAAGATTTGCTTAGATGATGTCGTTGGCAATAAGTCCAAGGTGTAAGTTGAAAAAACCTTTGGAACTATTACACAACGGAGTAAAGCCAGAGTAAGATAAAGTAGCAATACAAGTATAAATTAGATTAGAAAGTTCATATTAACGACGTCATCACAAGTTGTACACATATACCCACAGGGGACTCTCTTTGGACTTAGCTATATACAAGAGAGATGCCAGCGGAAATATCTGAACGTTTCGACAAAATGTTGAGGTACGTTTGGGATGGCGTCAAATACTTAATAATGACGTTGTTGCTGTCCATTAGGGATTTATATTCAAATAATCAAATATGCACTTCAGAAAAACATTCCTATTGATGTCATCACAAACAAGTATATTCTACTTTTTCAGCATTCGAACCAACACTTAACAGAAATTTAGTGACGTATATGTAACGATACTCAATAAATTTAGAAACATATATCAATACGACAGTCTGACTTTTAATGACACCTGAACGTCGACTATATATAATTGCAATGGACATTTTCGACGGTGCCATCGCTTTTATTGGGTCAACCGAAGGAAAACTCTAGGAAATGTTAGTGCAGTATTAGGACTAATATGCATATGTATTTGTGTCTCGGCGTGTGAATACTTAAATGGCAGTTTTCATTGCAAAAACTATATTTTATTACAATAATTTTGTACCTAAAGATTCAGACATCTATTTATAGGCATATATTTACTTTTGAACGACTTACTTTGTAGGTTTGCAGATTATCGACAACACATTGCAGCACCGCCTCCCTTCCCACTGGTACTGTGACATTTTGTAATGGCTCACCGAATTTTGGTAAATCTGTAAGCAGAAGAGAAAGGATTCCATATGAAAATTAGTAACCTAGTGTTTCTTTATACGTATTTTAATAAATTAAAAGATTAATATTCTAATTACTAATAATTAAATTAATATTTTAGGAAAATAATAAATATAAATCTACTATTTGATTTTATGAACGTGGGTAGCAACAATTCTTTCCAGCATAAGTTCCGTTAGAAACTTTTACTACTATATACAAGAAACGATACAACATATAAAATCGCAAAATCAGGTTTATTTTTGAGTATTTGTTGTCCCCACCTTTTTATAAAGCAGCAAGTTTGAGCTTTGCAATTTAAAATGATATTTTTTTATCGAGTTATAAAATTCACAAAAATACAAAACAAATTTGCCTTAACTTCAACCGTTAATATCTTTAAACCGTTATGTTTACGAAAAAATCGTAAAAGACGTTTTTGTAGTACATTCGATTCCAAGTGCAAGTAGTTGAAAACGAGATATCACTTATTGTGTCTGATAATACATAGTAAAATAAATAAAAAGCGGTAAGGCGGAGAACTTTATTGTTACAATTAAGAGCCCATACTTGGAGAGAACTTCTTAGAACGAGTCTATCAACCAATTTTTCATAGTACCAAATGAAAGCAATATATTATTATTTTTTTTTTTTGCCCACCCTAATACATATGGTGGCCAGAACATGCATGATGAATGTCATCAGTAAAGTGTTTCACATTATTGTAGTGCGGAGTAGGAGAAAGTTGAATATGTAAAGCAAGACGAGATTTCACCAGTACTCGTACTCGCGAATACGCGGATTACCACTTCACTCCTGTAAGCGGAGATATTTGCATACACTTTATTACCCAGTTGTACCATCACGCCGTGGTAACACCATAAAAACATGCGTATGTATTTGTCAACACGAGAGAATGATAAACTGCGTGTACGCATACAAACCCATTAATATTATCCACTACATACACAGAGCATGCAATCCAATAGCAGCGAAATACTGCGAGATTCTGTAAAAGCGATACTTTAAGTGGAAGAGTTAAGGACAAGAGTGAAAAGAGCGTAAAGCGATTTACAAAAGCGTAAAGACGTGCGATAAGATTAAGTTCAGTCATTTATAAGCGATTAGCTGGTGCAGACACATACATACATGCTTATGCATATATACGCATATACTGTATAATATACAACATGAATACGAATATTCATATCCTCAACATCTAGGACCGCCGAGAGAAAAACCGGGCCCAGGGGTGAAAAGGTAGGGGCCTTACAGGAATGTTTCTAATACTTTATACATTTTATTAGCCATCTTCCCACTTACTACTTCAATGTTTTTGAAAAACTCCACGACTTTTTCTGTAATCACAACGTTTAAATAAATGTTCGAATCAATCACATTTAAAAAGCATTATATTTTCTAACTTTCATACTTTATATCTAGGAAAATACAGGCCACTTCGAGAATTACGGGTGCGTTGGGAATCACCCTCGATCCCGCCCCCTCTTGGCGTTGCTGTCAACATCTTATATTAAGTTATAACTATATATATATATATAAATGATCAGAGCTGATACGATCTAGCCATGTTCGTTTGTCCATTCGCCTGTCTGTATATTCGCAAACTAGTCGCTCAGATAGCGTTCAAGGCAACGCTACAATCTCTAAATAAATTGCACAATTCGAATACCACTGTCTTACAAACTGATCGATCAAAATCAAATTCTTGTATGGAAAACATTTTACCTTTTTTTAAACTATTGCATAGCTTTTATCGCGGGCTTTGTGCACGGCGACCGAATCAAGAAATTCCGTAACGGAAATAAACCGAAAACAATCACAAAGTATGTGCAAAATTTTTGCATACGTGTAGGCGTATTTTCGCATATCTCAAGCAATAAAAATCAATTGAAGAAACATAGCAGGGTGATTCAAAATCAATAATATTTAAGATACAAGTTTTTTAATGACAAATAAATTTATGGAATTTAAAAAAAATTTATAAAATAAAAAATAAATTATTAAATATTCAGAGTTATAATAATGGCAACATTATTATTGTTTTAGTAAATTGCTACCTCACCTTTTGGAACAGTATCTCGTTTGAATAGAACAATACAATTGAAATTAGGTATTTCTATCATATTATTAGTGAAAACAAGTAAGGAACGGCTAAGTTCGGATGTAACCGAACATTTTATACTCTCGCAAAGTCAAATGGTATACTCATTTGCGATTTCTATGTGGATTGACTGATATTTTCGGTAGAAGGTCAACTTTAGGCACTGGGGTCCATATATTTAGTACTTAGGGGAACAGTTTTGGTTTGATTTAGACAATTTTTGGTCACAAGGTGGCATACATTAAACGCATTATTTACGCAAAGTTTTACCCCGATATAATCATTGTTGCGGGATATGCATAGTGGAAAGGGGAAAGAAGCAGATGAAATTTAAAATGATATTATATGGGAAATAGGCGTGGTTGTAATCACATTAAACTTATTAGGGGCAGGACCACGCTCACTTTAAAAAAAAAATTTAACTGCAGATGCCCCTCCCTAATGTGATCCTTTGCACCAAATAACAGTCTTGTACCTTATTGCAGAGCTTAGTTATGGCAATTTATTTGTTGTTGGTTAATGGTGTTTTGTGGGCGTGGCAGTGGTCTGATTACGCCCATCTGCAATACCAACCGTCTTACGGTACCAAGTTTCATGAAGATATCTAAATTTTTACTCAAATTACAGCTTGCACGTACGGACGGACAGACGTACGGACGGACAGACAGTCACCCGGATTTTAACTCGTCTCTTCATCCTGATCATTTATATATCTATAACCCTATATCTAACTCGATTAGTTTTAGGTGCTACAAACAACCGTTAGGTGAACAAAACTATTATACTCTCTAGTAACAAGTTGCGAGAATATAAAAAATTTGGCACTCTGGGACTGCCGCGGTAAAACTATTGCATAACATTTTTATCAACTTATGCAATTATAACTTTTTATTTATTTTTATACTCTCGCAACCTGTTGCTACAGAGTATAATAGTTTGGTTCAAATGGGTGAAATCGGGTGGCAACTCCGCCCACTCCCCATATAACGGTACTGTTAAAAACTACTAAAAGCGCGATAAACCCAGCACTAAACACGCCAAAAACATTGAATTTTATCTCTGAGATGGTATGAGATGACTTTGTAGGAATCGCGTTCAAAATTAGACAGTGGGCGTGCCACAGCCCACTTTTAGGTGAAAACCCACATCTTGAGATCTGCTTAATCAATTTCAACAAAATTCGGTACATAACGTTCTCTTCATATTTCAATGTTATAGTGCGAAAATGGGCGAAATGGGATTGCAACCACGCCTATTTCCCACATAACATCATTTTAAATTTCATCTGCTTCTTTCCCTTTCCACTATGCATATCCCGCAACAATGATTATATCGGGGTAAAACTTTACGTGAATAATACGCTTAAAGTAGGCAACTTGGTACCAAAAATTGTCTAAATCGAACCAAAACTGTTCAAGCCCCTAAGTACTAAATATGTGGACCCCGGTGCCTATAGTTGACCTTCTACCGAAAATATCAGTCAATCCACAAAGAAATCTCAAACGAGTATACTATTTGACTTTGCGAGAGTATAAAATATTCGGTTACATCCGAACTTAGCCCTTCCTTACTTGTTTTTTTTTTTTTTGCATTTGTGTATGCTCACCGTGTTTGCTTTCAAATGTGTTCGTGTGGTTTTTGTTTTGAAGCCACAAATTTAACAAAGGGTATTTCTGTTTATATTTATTGTTGTGGTTTTGCATTGAATGCTTTAGTTACGCTTATGAGCATACTCACAGATATGTATGTATACACACACAATACGAAATACGATTAAAAAAAGGAAGAAAATTGTCACAATGATTTATTTGAACACTAAAAGTGATATGCACCTACTAATTGTGCTACTAATTCCGCAGGGCAATTTCTTACTTAAATATTATATATACAAAATCTTTATAGGGATTTAGTGCAAAAAAGTTAGTGCACGCAAAACTGGTATCATTAAATGCTAATAAAATCATTAATTATGTATTGTGTACAAAAAGTAATTTATGTTAAGTTAAACCCTTCGCTTACTACAATAAGTGTCGTTTTAAAATCTAAGTAATAGCCCAAGAAAACTTGTTTAGTGAAATAGTCATACATGAGACGTGCATATTTCTCAGTCGAGAAATTCGGCATTGGACTTAATACAAACTCTCTAATGATTACAATTTCAAACTGCAACATAATGGTACAAACGTTTCCTTCACAATCTCTTCCCATAGTGTAGAACACTCAAATACTTCAACTATCATTATTACATTACAAATTATATAGATTAACTTATTTTCTTCTATATGTATTCTATACAAAGACTTTTTGAATGTCTAATATTAAGCCTAATGTTTCAATGATACATTTTCAATCTACATATTCATATATTAGTAAAAGTGTATTAAATCGCTGATAAGTATTCATATCTTAAAAACTTCCCAACGCCAAAATATATGTGCAGTATTATTAACTAATTTTTTGTTACTTGTGAAGAGAAACTTCGTCTAAGCTAGTGATGTCTTATTATGTTGTCTGTCATAAGATCGCAACTTTTCCAATTCCATTGGAAGCTTATTAGGATTTACTGTTGTCAACAAGGAAAATACTAACAGCATCAAAACGAGCTAGTCAAGCTACCTGTATCAGCTTCTGCTTTAGCAGATTCTATTATATGCAAAGCTTATTTATATGCATTTGTGAGTGTTGAGGCATATATGTATGTATACGTTTTCTACATTATATAAACATATTTAAAATGATTTTTCCTGGCTTATTGATATACAAATGCTTTATCGCCAACCACAGTTAGTGGATACGGATTTTTGCGCCAATATTATAATACTATTTCACTTTCTGTGTCTAAATAAGCACACAGTTGAAATCAGAGACCAGCGATGCCCTTTGTGAATCTAAGCAACATAATTGACGTCAGGTAAAGTCTTTTTAAAAGCACAGATTTCATATTACTGAATTTCACACCTTCACTAAATTATCTAGATAAGTAATCTTGTCAGCTCTCGCAGAATATTTTTTTAATACTTTATTTCAATTAAAACTGTTGTAGTTTATAATTGTGGTATTTTCATATAAATTCTCAATGATGAATAGCTGGTGGTTGAGTCGTTTTTATAACACGTTGCCTTTTAGAAGACTGAAAGTTTTATTTTTTGCTGTGTTGTAAATTTTATTGAAAATAAGTAAAATATTTCAATTTCACTAACATAGATTTCAACAATACTCTCAACATATTATTTGCATTGTAATTTTGCGTTAAAGTTATTTCAAAATGTCAATTTGCCTCAACGTTCTAGTTAAATAATAATATTATTTTATGACGAAAATTAATGTGGTCGCACATCTGTGTTTACCAGAAATTTTTGGCGACTGTAAAATATCTATGTATGCGTATAAGGTCGTTAAATATCAGACTATGGTATATGCGCCAGGTGAATGCTAGAGATAATCTGCCGCATAATATAGCTATCTTTTTACTTACCACCAACATCGCAAATACACAGCTAGTACACAGACAAATAAAATAGAATGAATTCAGCTACTTGTGCCGCCTCACTGGATATCTGCTATCGTGTTAGAGAACCACAGATCAGCTACCAACGCGTTTGCTTCTCGGGCAACAAAATGCTCTGCTGTCAGAGATTATGTTATGCTTTCTTTTGAATGCTTTGCACCTACCCAAACTACTCGCGCTCTTATTTGCATACTTTTAAAATATATGTATAAATAACGGATACCAATAAAATACAAGAGATTATATGCAGTGTTAACCATATACAAAATGAAGCTTTAAATATATATAGAAGTATATTAACTTGATACAAGGAGATGATGAAGGGTGCGTTTGGTAAATATACCAGCAACAAAAATTATATCGTTATCAGTACTTTGAGTACTCTGAGTCTAAATATCTGGTTAAATAAGAATTATTATTTGCTCGCACAAATTTTTACAAGGCATTCTCTTAAATACATATGACTATATAAAATTAAATCTTTATAGTTTAAACTTCAAATATGGTTTTTTTTTCATTATATATTACATACTCACCTTTATCAGGTAATAGATTCGTAGAGGCGTCATCTCGTATATCCTCGAGCAACTCTTCATGATTTTTCATCTCTACGGCGGTTATGGCAAGCAAGCAGCAATAAATTGAAACCATTCAAGTTATGACAACCAACGGCAGCGTCATCAAATGTCACCATAAGCACATCATCATAAATTGTGCAAAAACATCACACGCAATAGAAGATGAGACCGAGTTGGTAGCAGCGCAGTTAAGGTATCATAGACGCATACGGGCATCAAGTAGACGTTGGAAGAATTAATGAAAATATACCAAATGTAAGAGAAAATAAATTGGTAAAATTAAAGCACGTCATCAATACTTATATGTATGTAAATTTAACTTTTATGCAAGCTAATGGGATACGATCTAATTCTTACTTTATGTCTATATCTCAAATCAAAGTAAACATTTTTCAAGACACTATGAACTGACGGGTTTAGATTTACTACATTTAAGATTGCCGCCTTTTAATGCTGGTTTTTTTTTTAACTAGGAAATTATTGATTTTATTTTCTGTAAGCGTGAATGTGTTTTTCTTACACAGCTCTGTTCTTATATGCAAGTCTATAATTAATTAATTTAATTTTTACACCCTGAACAGGTTATATTAAATTTGCCACGATCCAGACCAGACCACATGACAGATGGTCTAGAAAAATGCCACACATGGGAACAAACCACATGTCACAGTTAAAATGTACCTATATATTTATGTCAAAAAGCCAGACACAATTATAGTTACGAACATATGTACATATTATATGCACATTCTTTTATTATGGCTATCAGTCTCCATGTAATATGAATGCGCAACAAGTGTGTCTATGGAAGCACTTGATGTAATTGAACTTGACATTTTATGAGACACAATTTACGCCAGCATTGTGTGTTAAACGGTTGAAAATATAAGTGTGATGGTATATAGTTGTACAAAATATAATTTATATTGTATTTATATATATTTATTAAAATGATTACGAACTATATAAAGAGAGGGTATGTATTATATTTCTAGCTACTTATAACATTGTGTTTGGAGTATTTAAGAAATAATTGTTAAAAATATACGAATTATTGTAGTGTGAATGTAGATTTTGAGCTTTCAAATCTACATACAAGTAGATTTGAGACGTGAAACACAGCCTCTGATTTCCTAATGATTTTTAATGAAATACAAAGGTACAAAGGTACAAAAGGTATATACAAAATATGAGAATAGAAAGTGCAAGAGTGGCTGCACTGGTTGATGTCTGGCAATCGACTGACCGTCCGTTCCTTTGTTGTTCTGTTCACTAATTTTCTTCGTCATATGTTCCTCAGTTGAATTCTACTAAACATTATTTTATTGATTACTACTAAAAATTAAATTAAAAGTTACGTCCACTTCGTGTTGTCTGTCTGTCAATTCCTCATGAATATCTGTAGAATATTTTTTTTCGGAAATTTGTTCCTTTAGTCAGTGATTATATTAACCAATTCAGAGTTAAGACCTCACTAAAGAACTTAAGGTTTTTTCACACTTACAAGTATGTCCTTTTTTGACCTTTCTTTCGTTCCTATCTACTCACCTTCGTGTCAGGGCATCCTGAGTTATAGGCATACTAAATTTTAATACTCCAAGGCTGGCAGTTTTAAATGTATAATTTTTCATTAGATTTTAGTATCAATAAAACAGTTTTTAGCTTAAAGGATGCACTATGTAATGCTTGTTATTTCTAGATTTTAAATTTCCAGATTTAATACGGAAACACGTCGAAAATGTGAACAACTTTGCACACATGTTAGCGGATTTTTCATGCTTCAGTGCCCACATTTAGCTCACTGCCACTCACAGCTGTTCTAAACACTACATCGCACCGTAAAAGTCTACATATATACAGCAACAACACAAGTGAAGCGTGCCACATCAAACCGGCTAGGTTCTTCTCCTGTTATATACTAACTACAGCTTGTGCAACTAACAGAAGTTTGTGCATAATTTCAACATTTCGTTTGCCTGAAGACTGCTGCTTTAGTATTGTCGTTGTTCTTTTTCTTGCATTAGTGTTGTTATTTTGACAACTGAGGCGGGCAATAAACTTGATTTGATGCTATGCTTTTCACAAGTGCACTAAGCTTCAGTCGTATTGAAGTAATTAAATGCTTCACACTAAATTTGCACACATGCGCATATACGAATCCTAGCGTATCAAATTATGCCCTGAGGTATTAGTACACACTCTCGGTTTTACCATAAAAGGAACACCTTCTTCTGCAGTCAAAATTGTGCAACACCAAATGTTGCCAACAACTGAGGAGCAAAGCAAATATGTGCGTTGAAAGTGAGTGCATATGGCTTATATACGTCAAGACTTGCTTTCAAATGAAATGATGACACTAAGTGAAAATTGTGGAAAAACCGAATCAAACTGATATTATGCCAGAAAATTTGGTTGCAGTTAAAAATTTAAAGAAAACGTTGTTTTTGTTACGCATTGAAGTATCTGTCGAAAAAAGTTTCAGTATATCTACAGAATGCCTTCAGCCAATGATAGCACAGGTATACAATGGTTTTGTTGCCCTGGATATAAGATCTATTTACATATTTGGGCTTATAAATCATAAAAATATCAATGATTTTGTAAGAGTTGTACTCGTTTATTTTTGAGTCTTTATTTCCATATTACAATACAAAAATGAGACAACATGAAACAAAACAACATATTTATTTATAACGTCCATTTTTTTTTGTAAAAAATAGGAATACATTAAAAAAAATAGAGCAAAAAATTTCGAAACATATGTTAAATTTCAATAAAACACCTTTCATGAGCGTTTCTTTTATTTTTTTTCAGTTAGCTATCTCTTTTAATTTGCCAGCAGTAAGCTGCACTCATATGACGATCCCATCAACCAGGATACCTTTTTCCATCCTTTTAGATCCTAGTGAAACCATTCTCTCTGTGTCTCACTAATTTTCCAAAATTATCCGAAAACGTATCCAAATAATTACGGAAATAAGTAGTCTAACTTGATACTCATATTTGCTCCTATAATCTTAAAATTTGTCCGCATATTTTTCAAAATTTCTTCATCATTTGTTGATTTGTAATTACATAGGAAATTTTCGATTACTAACGCAAAAAATTTTCAAGCGCCAATTTCCGGAACAGACATAATCTTGATAAAATCTGTATCTTTCATAAATTGCCTATGCCACCTTTCAACTTTTCCATACTTAGCTTGAAAATTTTCTACAATTGTAATTTAGACAATAACCGTCTTTGACGAATTGCTTTATCGTACCTAAATTGATCACGTATTAAATTTCTGAGTTCATTTTCTGCAAAAAACATAGGCGTAGAAGTGTCTACCTCCCTTTCACTTTCACATGGTGAAATCATGGTATCTGTGTAGTAAATGCAAATTACTTTTGAAATGAAATCGAGATTTTCATTGAGAAAACAAGACATTTTGTAAACTGTTAGTGTAGATACCTTCACGCACCATGTTAATGAGCCTGTGAGTTGGGATAACGCGATGTTTTTATGCGCTAATTTATTTTGAAAAACCCTAATTAGGACAGGAAAAAATATGTTGTTACTAAGAAGCCGATAATTGTTCAAAATAAAAGATATGCCATTATGCTAAAAATAGAAGTACACTCAATAATGTCATAAATAAAGTCATAATCTGATAATTTAAAACCATCAAGTTTAAAGAAATATTGAGGGCGACAAAGATGTTGTTTTTTGGAGAGCTTTGTATTTAGAGTAGTAGTGACGACTTTTGTGCGATAAATTATTACGCTAGTGATTTTTCTTAATAATTTACTTGAAACAAATCATCGTTATAGTTGCCGATAAGTGGGTTTATGCGTGAATTATATTTCCAGTACTTATTGTAGCATTAAATATTCGAAAGAAACATAATAAGTTATACCTATATGAGTTATACTTGAAAATCTCATAAGAGTCGATTTTTTCACAGTAAGAGAAAATATAATATACATTACTTGTAGACATCGATGGCTACAGTCTAGACAGGGTTGCGTTTGGTCTTGTTTGGTTTAGATATTTCTTGTATAAATACAATATTTCAAATACTATAATATTATATATGTACATTATAGTGCATTGAACTTCACATATAACCCTGATAGAGCATACATTTTTATTTCAGAGGTCCTCTCCCTTTTCTTACGAGCAATGAGCGAGGAGCTTTTACATGTGCTTTAACTTCTTCAAAAAATAATACTAAAATTTCGATACGTAATCAGAAGCTTGCCAAATCTGACATAATATTTATACTGACGTAAAATTTTGCTAGCGAGTGTAATGGTTTTGTTAATTTTACCTTTGTTTGTACCACATAAAACTAATTGAGATAGATATACATATATGTAGTTATGACTGCACACCGGTCACGCTCAAACGCTGCCATTAATTGAAAACCTAAAGGTGCAGTGAATTGCAGTAGTCAGGGTAATTTGTACGCTGAAAATTTTCAAGTGGCTATATCCACTTCTTTCCTTAGTGTTACGATATTACTCATGGCGTATACGTAACATACAAATATTCGGAGAATTTGTACCAGGTGGTTTCAAATCCATAACTGACCATTACAATTATATATGTGAACAACAACAAAAGATAAACATTTTTTGTTATAACATACACATATTCGTACATTTCTTATATATCAACAAAAGTTGGTTTATAAACTTATAAATTGGAGGCTAGAAAATTCCTAAAACAAATACATACGTATATAGAAAATTAAATATCTACTGATATCACTAAGCAAACTGCACGGACTGATTGCTTCTAATTTTTCTTCTTCTCTATTAACCATAACTTTAACACTACAATTTCACTATCCTTGGGGCAAGATCTTTTATAAAAGGTGTGTATACAAACAGCCAAAAAAATTCGTTATAATATAAATAAACATATATGTTTATAAATGTATATTTCGGGGGGCTTTTAAGGCTTCTGGCATACACTTATGGCTAGTGCTTAATTCAACTCTTAGTCTACTCTAACATGAGCGACCAAACGAAATGCATAAC